GCAGGCAGGCAGGCAGGCAGGTGAGCAGTTAGGAGCCAGTGGTCCCAGATTGCGAGAGGGATGTCCGATTGGAGAAGGTGCAGGCTGGACTGAGGGACCCCACCTCCCCTTCCCCGTGCACAAATTCCATGCACCAGGCCACTGGTGTAACTATCAATTCAAATATATATATATATAGTTAATGCATATATACACACATACATGTGTTTTGTGGGTGGAGCTCAATGGAATTATGGATAAAGATAATGATAGATAGACAGATGATAGGTAGATGATAGATAGATGATAGATAGGTAGATAGGTAGATCCTCCCCAGATCCAGGACGCACACAGAGCAAGAGGGCTGCTTGGCCGTGTTAGATGAACCGCTGTGGTGTCATCATCAGTTACAGGTCGATGAAAACAAGCTGATACCCCGGCAGTTGTGCCCGAGCATGCTCTTTCTCCTCAGGTCGACACCCACGGCAACATTATCCTCAGCACCCTGGAAATCAGGAACGAGACGAGCGGCTCGGAAGTGCTCACGGGCATGAGCGACCCCAACACCACCATGTACTCTTACGACAGCGCCAGCATCCACTACCGCAAGCCCCGGGCCACCCGCGAGGCCCCCGGGCACCCGCTGGACCGCCACGCCCACGGCAAGGGGCGCATCCGCAGGCGCGCCTCGCAGCTCAAAGTCAAGATCCCCGACTTGACTGATGTGAACTCCATAGACAAGTGGTCCCGAATGTTTTTCCCCATCACCTTTTCTCTGTTCAACGTCGTGTACTGGCTTTACTATGTACACTAAGGTCTGTCCCAAGGGTTCGGAAACGACTGCTTTCCGCTTTTGAGTTCTAACCCCACAGGTCCCCAGCAGCGAGACTGCTGTGTTTTTGAGGTAAGAGATTCAGCCATCTACTTGGTTTTAGGTCTTGCATATCAATTTTATTACTGCACCATGTTTACTTCAAAAAAGGAAAACAACAACACTCTTTTTTTCCAGTCTACTGTGGTCCAGGTTATCAGCTCTTTCGAGCTCTATAATTGCCATGTTTACAAACACCCACGAGGAGAGACGTTAGATGGGCAGCTCTTGAGCAGTCCTTCCTAGTTGCCCTGGATTTTATCGCTTCATTTTTAAAATAAGAATGAAAAGAGGGCCTCGTTCTCTGTGCAAGCTGCTTCCTGGTAAACTGTAACAGTCTCATACTGCCAAAAACAACAACACAATTTCCAGGATCTCAGAAGAAAAAAATACACAAAGCCATTGACCAGTTACAGATTTCCAGGAAGGAAACCAAGAGGAGCCTAGAAGAGAAAGACTCCTCCCACCCCTAATTCTCTGGCAGCGGGGTTCTCAGCTCGAGGAAGAGGCGGGAGGATGGGCAGGCACTGGTGGAGGTCATGCAAACCCAATCTTGCCAGTTTCACCTCCCCATGGAGCCGGACATTCTGGAAAATATTCTTTCTCAGACTTCCTGGCTGATTTAAAATTAACATTAGACTCCACCCTGATAACCATTGAGAACATTTTTCCTTTCTTCTTGAGAATGCGATGTTTGGGGGTTAATGACTTTTTTTTTTAACTATTTCAAATGAACAGCCCTGAACTCATTCATTAGCCTGGAATCACTTGACGCTGACATGAAGCCATGCCATCACATTTCCCTGGCTCCTGCTCCAGAGAGAGTGAGAGGAAGGGGGTGGGAGAAGAGGGCTTCAAAGATGGGCATCGTGAGCAATTTTTGCTTCAGAAAAATATTGCTCTTTCCATGAAGAAGGCAGGACTTATCTGCTGTGAAAAGGGTGCCTGGGCAGTTACCTGAACTGCCAAATCTTAAATCAAATAGTATATATTTCTTAAGCCTTCCAGAGAGCAGTTTCTAATGGTGATAGGCTAGTTGCACCAGCGTCAACTGGCCCCTTATGGCTCTGCTCTCTGAGCTCTGCATTCCAAAATAGGAAACGATTGCTTCAGGAAATGCACATTGCACCCACTTTGGTGTCAGGCTTCTCTGAGGCCAGATTTCTATGTTAAAGGAAACCTTCAAAAGGGCAAAACCACAGATAACAACAATGATAAACGCACTGGGCCTTCAAACATGTACACCAGACCCTAGCTACACTCATTAATCGCTGTCATCACTGCTCTGCCTTATCTCTGTTCATAGGTTGCTTTGGTCATGGTCATCATGGGAGGGGCACCTCTGAGTAGCCCAACACATGATTCTAAATCGCTCTAACCAGCTGCAGATGAGACTCATACCATTTGTGTCATTAAAGACCCATTGCTTTTTTTTTTTCTTCAGCTGAGCATCAAAGAATTCTGTATCTTTATTTGCATGGTTGTGTGAGACCCTGAGTTTACCAATGAATTATGGAGGCCATTGGGACCTACTCCTTGGGTGTAAAATAAGGGTTGAGGAAATAATAGGATGATTGCCTCACTTAAAGACCTGGCTTTCTCCCTAAGGCTGTGATGAGGGTCCATGTTTACAATAGCATCAGCTGCTAGAAATTATAGTCTGTGTTGAAAGATAAGGCTGAATTCCTATCGATGAGCCCAAGGAGAGAGAGTTGTAAGATATTCTTCTAGAAAGCAAGAGGAAAAGAGAATCCCAGAATAAATGAATGGTTATGGCTGTAGTCAATATACGCTAGTAAAAATGTAAAAACTCTGCTTTAACTGGGAAAATCGTCTCAATGGTTTCATAAGAAATTAATAGGGTTACGGGGACCAAATTTTCATTCGGGTTTTAATTGTATACTCGCAATCCCCTGGTCAAGGAAATCTTTAGCTTCTGGAGATAAATATTTTGAAACTAATTAGTTCCTTGGCAGGTGAGATGCTCTGCCATTGTAAAAATCCCCCAAATGACTGTAAGGTTAATATTTCCAATGACCGCCCAGGAACCACTGTGTAGCCATCTATTTTAAACACAGAAAGAGAGACTTCTGGCTAATGCCTAACAGGAATAAATCATTCTGATGTCAAAGCTCTTTAAAAGTTTTTAGAGGTGAAATGCTAAATCAGAAAGGAAGTACCCATAATCCATGTTCCTTAACAAAACAATTTTTCTTTATCCGTTTAGATCATTCTTCTTGGAAAAGATTGAGGTAATTTATATTTTTATTATTTTTTTATCTTGCCTTAAAAGTCTAAAGAATTTTATGCTTGTAGATGAAAATGTACCTCTAACGGGAAAAAAAGAGAACATTTTGAATTCTTATATATTAACCTTTGTAAAATTCGCAAGCCTGAATATTCTATCAGGCATGAAATGGTGTCACTGTCTGGCCCTCCGGATGGTAAGGGGTCCCAGCCACCATCATGCAAGTCCTGTTAAATAGCTCTCATTTTAGAGGCCGTGGCAGCCGGGGGAAAAAAAATTAAGAAGCTGCCATATTTCTCTTTAATGACCTCTTTTCCCACTTCTTTCTTCTGGACGCCTCCCAGCTGAACCCTCACCTCCTTGGACCCCACGCACTGTCCCTCCAGGCTGAAAAATGCATGGAAACATACCCCTCCTTCTCTGCCTCTCTCCCTTGTTTTGCCCAAAATGATGTACATAAAACATGAGAGTTGTTAGACATTCTTAAGTGCCCTCACACGGATCCTGTTGCTGAAAGATTCAGACCCATGCCTAAAACAGGGGTTACTGCTGTTCAACTATTATTTGGTTATTTATTTATTTATTTATTTTGCCATGAAAATAGCCATAATCTCCTTCATTACTGAAGTGGCAGCAAGGCTGAAAATTGTATGGACTCTCTTATGCTACCGTCATGTCCAGGGGACCCCATGTTCACAATCCATAAACTGTGACATATATTGTGTCATAAACGTAACCTGTGAAACCCAGCATGCATCCCATCTTTCACTGGACGGTGATGACGACACATTCATCCCTTCCACTCATGTTGTTTGGCTTAAAATGTCAGGGGTGATGTGGGTTACCCTTACCAGCTTCGTGACGCAAAGACCCAGGTAAAGATGTGTTTGGCTTGAATTACCCAGGACTGTTGCCTCCGTTCTCTACATTGCCAAACAGAAACAGCAGACTGGATGGTCATTCTGCTGCGTCAATGATACGTGTTTTCATACAAACCATCTTATTGTGCATTACAATCAGTGAAGGATTTTGAAAGTGCCAAGAGAAAAATGCGGTGCAGAGAATAAAGTTTGGTTTAGGGATCCAAGAGTAGACTTTCCTTAGACAAACAGTATGTACAACACACAGAAATGTTGACTAAATTCCGACTTTCTAAAACCAATGACTACTTTATAAATATTCATTTCAAAAAAAGAGCGCAATTAAAATTTGCCAAGTTCAACAAAAAAAAATTAGGTATATTTATAATGCTAGAAAGAAACTATCTTCAAGATTTCTTATACGGACAATTTTGAATAGTATCTGACCAAAGGGTGATATGCCACATTTTTTTTTTTCTAATCAAAGTGTAATTGTTTATCCCAGAGGGAAGCAAAAGGCATGTGCCAGCATTTGTTCATGGTGGTTCAATCAGCAGTTACTGGGAGGCGGAGGACAAACAAAACTATCTCCGTTTTCTGAACGCAGACAAGTAAACAACAAGGTACACTTGGTAATGGAATGTAGACTATTATGTAAACTTCCTTGTAAATTCTGTACATAGTTCATTGAACTGTTCCTGCTGCGTGGTGGCCCTCGGCTTTGGGTGGGCATCTGGAAACTCTGAGCATTGTACATAATGTCAGCCTCCAAGGCACTTGCTTTTCTCCATGAAGTGAAATGACTAGTGATTTGGGTCCAAACCAGAAACTTTTTAGCTCTTGCTCTCTCGCTGCCATGTTCTGTGTGCACTTGTGTAACTGCCAGGTGTCTGTGACCACTGCCTCACGCCCCATCCCCACCGGAAGGGACAGTAACTGCGGGGAAGACTGCACCCCTGTGGGGCTCGGGGACAGCGCACCAGCAGAGACAGAATCTGTAGCCAGCTGCTCCTGGAAATGCGTCCTGGAACGTGGATGTGTTTCTGGGTCACTCGACCGACTTACCTGTGCTTTTCAGGGGGTGAGGAGTGGAAGAGATGAGCAAAACCCACAGGTAATCCAAAGCTTCATTTGCACGATGCTTTACCTTTGAACTTTCTCCCTTCCACAATGTTCCCGGGAACTTTTCCTAAGACTAGAAGCGGATGATGGATTTCATCAGGGTCAACGGTCAACTGTCCAAAGGATGGGAAGGAGAAAAGGAAGAGATAGCGAATGACATTGATAACACAAGCTGGCTGGCTCACTTCTGGAAGACCCAGAGGGGAATCATGTCACTATTTTTAAAGGAAAAGAGAAATCTTGGGAATGAAAACAGGTGTTTTACAACTGGGGGGGTCCAAGATATGTTTGATGTATGCTAATTAAACTTAAAAGAGAATTTGATAATTAAGTATTCTCAAATGTATTTCTCCCCAGTCCTGATGTTCTTGGAATAGACGTTCAGAATGGTGGGATGTGGTGCCATAGATGTGTTTCCATGCAAACTGGCAGTCCCAGAGAGGGTGGTAGTGTCCACAGAAGTTCATAATATCCAGGCAAGCAGGGACATAGATTGGTATTTTCCTTAGTAATGTCTTAGAGTGTCCAATGTCTTTCTCAGAGGTCGGAACTTGGCAAGACAGGGCTTTTTGTGCCAGCATTTTAAGTGCCAGAAGGGTGCAGGGAACCATCACTGTGAGACATTTTTGGTTCCAAGATGTGCCAATGAAAGTCTACCATCAATTGAATAAGAAAAATATCCTGTTAGAGCTAATCAATTTCTACATTCAAACTACATTGTGCTTTTTACTTTAAACGTGCTTTCTCTAGTTAACTGAAATCAATGACACTGGCAGAAAATTAATTGTTAGAGGTTACAACTCAAAAGCAAACATTTGAAAGGGAAAGCTTTTTAATACAAGAGTTGCAAACCAGAAAATACTAAGGTCCTGGTAGGGTGTGGGAAAGAATTTCCTAGTTGGAACTCAAGATGTCTAACGTTTGTTTTGTTTTCCTAATCAAAAAGTCCTTGGTACATCAAGGGGCTCACAACCGTCCCTGATTGGCCCCTACATACCGTGCACATCCTGGAGCAACCAGCACTCATCACAAAGGCTTCAGTAGGAAGTAAGCGTGGGAAAAGTCAGTGTAGTAGTTCTGAGCAAGCTGGGAAAGAACTCCATTCCAACTCTGCTTGCATTTTTTCTGCAAACAATAGGAAAATAAATGAATAAAAATGAATCATTAACAGTCATGGGCAAGAAGGAAAAATATGAAAAAGTCTTTCCCCCTCCTCACTCATCCACTTCAGCCTTTCAACTTATCCGAATTTCCACCTATTGAGGCAGGCCAAATAAACAATACAAGAGGGGGAAAAATAGTAAGTGCTTTGATGAGCCACTCGGTAATGGCAGGGTACACTTCCTATTAGCATTCAAAGCTACTAGTAAAAACGCTAAGGATAACTCTTTTCTTTACTCATTTTGTATATAAAGCACCATAATAAATTATAAACAAATACAATAAAAAAATAAATATATAAATCATTAACAGAGAGGCCAAATAACTTGGTGCATTTGCCTTAGGTATACAGGGTCACAGATTCACTAGCTTAAAATAGCCTCAGGGGAAGCCAGAGGACAAATAAGAGCAGCCAGTGTTGCTGTCTGGCCCGTAGTCTCCCTGGGCTTCCTTTTGAAGAGAAATGAGGGAGGGGGGAACATTTTCCAGTATAACTTTTATAAGTGAAAAGTATTAAAATGTGATGTGTGTGTGCATTTTGCAGGTGTGGCTGTGTGAAATAGATTACCTCTCTTGTGTTCAGCCCTTCCCAGCGCCATAGAACCCTAACCCTCATGCCTTAGCCCAATGAAACTAATTCGTGTATTTTTCCTCTTTCTCATTTCAACCTCAAAAGCTATTCTGCCCACGAATCCCTGAAAGCTACAGCTTCTGTGGGCTTATATTGCACGTCTTCAATTGAATCCACACAAAAATAATAAATTTTAATAATTTTCCCAGATTCCTTCTCCTGTCGCCTTTGAGGGGTCTTGGGAGGCAGCTTGTGTGCTCACATAGCCTCCTCTGAACTGCCTTCGGTTACTTTTTTCTGCTTTTCAGTCTTGATGTGAAGAGTACATGTGTTTACATAAACCTTCTCTCTCCCAGTGTAATTCAAACTAAAGTGGAAATAAAATCATCAGCTGAAGCCTAGGAAAATTTATATCTACACCAATGTTTGATGATAATACCATCTCTTTACCTTATAGCTGTAATACAGTGAATTCATGCAGTATCAATTCTTTTTTGTTATTCATACCCTCCTTCAGCCTTAATTGTACACCATTTAACAATCTATTATCATTCAAGTAGCACACAACTAGTTACAAACCACCCTCCAGGAACTTGACCCATTTTACCCTTTCTTCATCTTGTTCCTATTACAGATTTTCACCCCTGTGCATCACCCTACCTACTCTGCCTTAACCTTCTAGCAGACACTAAATATAGTTAGTAATTGGAAAGGTCATAATGCAAACTGTCTAATTTTCCCCTATAAAATATGTAGAACTTCTTTTTCCTCTAGATAGCATTCCTATACTTAGAAAACAGCGAGTTCTCTAAACATTATACTTAGCAATGTGCAACCCAACGTTAAAAGTTAATAAATGAGCTGCATGGTCAGCGGAGGGAAATTATAGTGGGATACACAACACCCTGGAATTCAGACTGTGCGACCAGGCCTTTGTGCTGTCTCTACCACCGCCCAATTGTGTGACTTTGGACATGCCATCAGATGAGCTCCAACCTCCCTTCCAGAACTAAGTCTCAAAGGGAGTTGTTTTCATTTGTATAGGAGAGTCCCAGAAATACATAGGAGGACCATGGCCTCTGCTAACATGGCCCCACAAATTTAATGATGTTCCTTGTTGCATCTTGTTGGGAGTAAGCCATCAGGGGTCAAGTGAATTGAATTTAATACTTTTCTATGTTCCTTTTAAAAATATGTAGAACATAAAGTAAAATTGGCAGGCAAGTGGCAAAAAAATTATTTTATTATTTTGGTAATGGGCTACAGTATTTCCCTTTAAGAGCATCAGAGACCCTCAGATAAGGTAAATCAGGTGGTCTCTACTTTTAGGTCTCCAGAAGATGTCACTCAGTCAGGAAAAGCCAAGAAATACCCCTCGCCAGTGGAAAAGCCAACTTCTTTTATTTTTAATTTTTTTATTTTATTTTTAAAATTTTTTTATTAAATCTTTATTGTTCAGATTATTACATTTGTTCCTCTTTTTTCCCCCATAACTCCCCTAGATCCCGCCCCCCCCTCCGCCCT